GTACGTGATAAAAGGTTTTGCCATAGCTCCCCCTGGAATTATATTCATCATAGGAGTTTCAATCTATAAAATAACAACAAAATAAAGAAAATTAACGTTGGCATAAATGTTTCCAGGCTTCTCCCGCAATAAATGCCCTGCTTTCACCCTTAGGGCATTTTTATTTCTATAGTAGAACTCTATAATACAAGCAAACCAACCAACCACAATTAATTTTAATGAAAATTTTCTGCATTTCATTTATTCTTTGACATATTAGTGTATGAAAACAATTCTGAAGGCCACTTCTCCCACGCAGCAAACAAAGACGAGTCACTTAAGCTATTTTGAATTATAGAACATCATAATCATACACCATATAGAAGGGACCCAGGAGAACTACGGAGTCCAATCGCTAACGCCACACATGGCAATCTAAGAGTTAAACCATATATCTAAGAGCGTAGTTCAAATGTTTCTTGAACACAGGCAAACTTGGGGACACGACTGCTTTCCTGGGGTGCCTGTTCCAGTGCCTGACCTACGGCGTAGCAAATAATTTTTTCCTAACAGTCAATCTGAACCTCCCTCAACACAGCTTTAAGCTCACCCTGCAAGGCTTCCTCTACTCTCAAGGGAAATGAAGGAGTACTTAACTCTTGTGTCCAGATCGTTGATAAAAGTATTGAAGATGACTGGCCCTAAAGCTGAGCCCTTGGAAATACCACTAGTGACGGGCTGCCAACCCATTTACTACACCTCTTTGAACCCAACCCTTCAGAAAACTATTCAGTCATCACCTTGTGAGTGACTTTGTCTAGAAGGATACATTTTGTCTGGAAGGATACAGAGAGAGACAGTACCAATTTTTATTGCGTCCATTGCTTTCACTTTGTCTATCAGGCAACGTCATGAAAGGATATTAAATGAGTAAAGCACAGCCTTCCATTCATAAACCCATGCTCATTTTGACTGATGACTGCACTGTGTTTCAAATACTTTTCAGTAACTTGCAGAATAACCTTCACCATAAGTTTATCAGGCACCAAAGGCAAGACTCTGAAAGGTCTGTAATTAGCAGGGCCTGTTTTCTTGCCCCTCTTGGAATTCAGAATAACATTTACTAACTTCCAATCAACTGGGACCTTTTCAGATTCCCAGAATCTTCGATAAAAAACTGAGAGATCTCACAACAACAATGGCCAACTCTTCAGTACCCTGGGTGAAACCCACTGAGCCTTGGAGACTACAACTGCAAAAGCAAAGTCCACCCCAAATCAATATCAACTGGGAGCTTAGCACTTCACCAGACATAGTCCTCCAACCCTGCATTCCAGGGGTTCCAGGGACAATCCCTGGTGTTTAGAGACAGGGATAAACAAACAAGACATTTAATATCTCTGCTTTATCAATCCAATTTGTGAGGCAACCAGCCTCAGCAAGTAACAGACCAGTATTTCCTTTAACATTTCTCTTGCTGTTAACACTTGAAAAAGCTGTCTTTGTTATTCAGCACAGTACTGGCCAGCATCAGATGACCTGTGGTCACAGAAATTTTCTCCCTGCAATAGTGAACTGCAGTCTTCCTGTGCAGTCTGACCATGCTTCCAAAGTCCATACTTTTTTTTCTGCCTAAGTTCCAAAGGAGCTCTCTTTTCTGCCTAGGCAGCATCCCAGACAGTACCAGAACCACAAATACAGTTCAACTTCAGAGGACTGAACTGACTGCAAAGTAACAAGCCCTGACAACAAACTGAAGAATAATACAATACTCATGAGAGCGTGGCAGTATTTTTCTAAAAATGGAACGTCTATTTGTCTATAACTTTAAAAAGAAAGAAAAACAACAACAACAAAAAACCTCTCCAGATTCCATTACTGTAAATTAATAAAATACACTGTGCTGAGACAATTACTCTCACTTCAGAATAACTTGGTATGTGAACTTGAAAACAAAGTATCCCTGAAACTGAGAAGCTCCAGATATGTTTGGTACGCAGACAGAAATAACAAGGAAGTCTTACCTCAAGGAAACCCAATTCATCCAGAAAGCTTCTAATATACGTCACAATCTTCGCACGGGTTATAAATTTCTGCCTCACATAATCGTTAAGAATTAAATCCAAATATCTCTGCCGATATCTAGTTTCCTGAAAGAAATATCTTTAGAACAAGGTAGAGAAAACGGACTGCCAAAAAAACAAAATGAAGGGTACCAATACAAGATGAATGGTTCTTTGCTCTCTAATATCATTTGCAAACATAAAAGATCATTCAATCAAAACTATCTGTCAAGTCACCTCCAAAAGTGGCAAGTATGACAGGTACCTTATCTTTGAGGCCGAAATGAAGATGAGGCAACATGTGCAGGCATGGGGATAAAAGAGTTACTTCATAAGGAATAATACTCAGTTCTCCTTTCTTTGTTTTCCCAGGATTCCCCACCACACCAATAATGTCCCCACGACGCAGTTTGTTGTTAATACGGAAATATTCTTCCTCAGACTTGTAAAGCCTGTAATTACAAAACTCGGTATAAGCAGTTTTGCTTAAAATTTAACATTCCAGTTGTCTTACACATCTCTTCCCAAGCTAAATTCTTAAAGAAGGTAAGAGGGAAGCCAATGACTGACAACATCCAAAACGAAACACTACTGCCCAAGCCAATCCCAGAACGCAGTTCAGTTTAGAATGCTAATACAAATACTTTTACTTACCTGGAATTCGCCATGACCTGCAACTTGACTCCTTCACCACGAAGATCATAGAAAATCAGTTTTCCTCCAGAGGCACGCTTTGCATGGATACGACCTAAGCAGCGAAACAATGCAGGTCATTGGGAAACATGTCCCTAAAAGGACGCAGCTGTTGGAGCAGGACCAGAGCAGGGCCACAAAGATGATCAGCGGGCTGGAGCACCTCCTCTGCAAGGACAAGCTAAGAGAGCTGGGACTCTTCGGCCTAGAGAACAAAAGGCTCCAAGGAATGGCCTTCCAGTAACTGAAGGGGGCCTACAGGAAAGTTGGGAAGGGACTTTATATAAGGGCAGGTAGCGATCAGACAAGGAGAAACGGTTTTAAACTGGAAGAGAGTAGACTAGATAGTAAGAAGAAATTCTTGACTGTGAGGGTGGTGAGACACTGGAACAGGTTGCCCAGTGAGGCTGTGTATGCTCCATCCTGGAAGAATTCAAGGCCAGGCAGGATGGGGCTGTGAGCTACCTGGCCTAGAGGGAGGCGTCCCTGCTTATAGCAGGAAGTTGGAACCAGGTAATCTTCAAGGTCCCTTCCAACCCAAACCATCCTACAATTCATTGTATGATTCTATGACACAGGAGCAAAAGCCACAACATTACCACTTGTAGAAAAGATCATCAGCCCTGCACTGATCATTAAGCATGAAAGAGAGACAGTTAAAGCCTCAAAACTACTAAGACTGCATAAAAGTTCACACGAGCTTTGGGGATCCTGAAGCCCAAATCACTATCTGATCTTCTGCTTATAAGGAACGTTGCAGTCTGCTCAGTCTGAAAGGGCCTATGTTGAATAGTCCAAAACTGCCCAAGAGGAGCAGCAAGATCAGCAAAATTTGAGAAGAGACCATCCCACTTCTAAAATCAGCTAGAACTTGATTCTATAAAGCAACAGACCATCTTCCTGTATCTTAGATAATATCTTACCTGCCACTCTCACTGTGATATCTGTCAGATGATCTCCCGGCTGCAAGTGACTGTACCTCCCTATGAAATCTGAGAGAGATAAGTCTACGTGGAACTTGTGGGGGTAGGGATCTTCATTGGTGCCCTTCAGCTGCTGGACTGCATGACTACGGATCTTATAATATTGCTGTCGCAGGAAACAAACAAAACCAAGTGACTTTGTTAGAATTTCAAAATATTTCACAGATTATACATTAAAACACAACTGCTCTGATTTAGGAATATGTAGGTCACTCTCTATTTCAACTACTTATTTCACTGTGAATAAAAATCAAATGTAAATCAGTAACATTTGTTTTCAGAACAGTATTAAGCATGTGGCCACACTCACATTTGGATCCAAGCTTTCCTCATCAGCACCAATGTTGTTCTCTGAATCAGCAGCCAAAAAAGGTTTATTTGGATGCTTTTCACTTTGTTCTTTTTGTTTTGCCTCCTTTTCAGCAATTTTTCTCTCAGCCTTCAGGCGTCTCTTCAGTTCACTGTAAAATAAAGAGAAATTGGATGTAGTGCATACCCTGATACTTCTGTAGGAGAGCATATGGCAAGACTGACAAAAACTGACTGTACAAGCAACCCTATCATCATCCCTCCTCTGCACAAAAAACAAAGCAACGCTTAAGCATGTTTAAGAGTTATCTTTTCTGACCTCTTGGTCTATCCTCTAAAAGATACAAATATTCAGAAAAGGCTAAAACCTAGTTGGATACTGTACGAACAAATCTGGAGAAAGTGCCTCTGCGTGCTGACAGATGTCCGCAGGGCCCTCCCTTCCCACGAGCGGTTACGGAGCACGGCTGCCCCACGCAGCACTCACTAAAGGAACGCGCCCTTGCCCCGCAGGAAGCCAGGCGCCACCGAGACGCACGAAGCCGCCTTTAGGGCCCGTCCCGCCCCACGTCCCGTAGGCATCCACAGCCCCAGCTCCACCATTCAGGACTTCACGAAGAAAGAGGCGGGGGCGGCCGGACCACCGAGCACCGACCTGCTTCGGCTATGAGGTACCCGGCACCAACGGAGCGCGGGCGCGGCCCTCCAGGCCCAGCCGAAGAGCCGCACAGCAAGGGGGCTCAGCATGGCACGCTCCGACGGATGGTCGAGCAGATTCGCACCCCAGTCAGCCAGGCGCACGGTACAGTACGCTTCACTTCGCCTCACCTGCCCTGCCTCGCCCTTTCACTCCTTCCCCAGCCCCGCCGGCCCGCCCACCCTCACTTTTTACTGAGGCGCGACTCGGAGTCCGCCAGATCGAGCTCCCGCTCCGCCGCGGCCGCCATCTTCCCGGCTCCTTGCCGTGCTTCCGGTATCGGTGCGCCTGCGTGGAGAGCGCGGAAATGGCGGTACCCCCGCGGAAAGTGTTCGTGTGGGAGGATGGCACCCCCATGCGCTTCTACATACGGCCCGGGATGGCCAAACTGCGCCTGGCGCCGCTGCTGCTGGCGGGGGGCGCGGGGCTGTGCCGCGTACAGGAGCCGGGCGCCGTGCACCTGGTGCAGCCTGGGGAGCCAGCGCCTGATGGGGCTGTCTCCACCGAGTACGTGATGGCGTGCGTGGAGAGCCAGCGGAGGCTGCCGCTGGACCGCTACTGGCACAGCGGCCCCTCGCCGCCAGCCGCCTCTCCGCGCGGCCGCCTCCCCTTCACCGAGGCGGAGGATGTAGCGCTGCTGCGGGCCGTGCGCGAGCGGAGCGGGGCGCGGGTGAGCGGCACGGCGCTCTGGAAGGAACTGGAGTGCGCTGGGCTGACGCGGCACAGCTGGCAGGCCATGCGCGACCGCTACCTGCGGCACCTGCGGCCGCTGCACCGGGGTGAGCTGCGGGCGGGGGCCGGGCCGGGGGGTCGGGCGAGGCGCCGCGTGCCGCTGCGGTTCGACGCTGTACGCGCCTTTTCCCGCAGAGCCCCGGCAGACGGAGGAGGCCGCGGCACCGATGGGCATTTTCGAGGCAGCGAATCGGGAGTTTGAGAGCTCCGAGGTAAGCCGGCGTGGAGCGGCTCTGCCGCGGTGCCGAGCGGGGTGGTCGCAGAGGTCCTTCCCGGGTGCCGCGAAATGACAGTGAACCGATGCGCAGGACACTTGTGAATTATTTTGTCCTATGATGGCCCTTCCGCTGTGGTGAAGCAGAAGCGTCGTGTAAGCTGTGAAATGCAGTGTGTGTGGTGATCAGTGCCTCAGCGCAGCGTGTGGAAGAGGATGCATGCGCTTAGTTTAATTCCCTACTCAGAGTTACTTGAGGAAAATAACCTGATGTGTTGTTGCATGTTAAAAGCTTTATTGGCAGCTTTCACTTGGGGCGTAAAACGTTTATGTATTTTTTTTTTTATACTCAAGTTGTTCAAATACTGCTGTATATTTGATGTTTTTACGTGCTCTTGCAGAATCTTGTTAAGGTGTTGCTTCACTTCAGTCACTGAATTTTGCTGTCTCTCATAATTACCTCATACCTTGTTGAAAGTCATGGTAGAAGATAGTGTTTGCAGTAAAGCAGGAATAAAAGAAGCTTGCCAAAAGCAACCTTGTCTAACTGATGTCTCTTCTTACTTGTAGTCAGGAAGTGACACCACAGACACTCCAGATGAACTTCCTATGCAAAATGGAGGAGGAATGTTTCCAGGTGACACAGCGTCTGGCCAGAAAACTGGACTGGGGAACTGTGCTGTCCCTGCTGCTCAAGAAGAAAATAAACGAACAAACGTTTGTCCTGATTCCAGCAAGGCTGAAGAAGCAGCACAAATTATTCAGCACTTCATGGAGGAGTTCCACATGGACCTGCTCTCTGTTACACAGGCCTTTCTGAAAAACAGTGGTGAAGTGGAGGCTACTTCATACTATTTGCATGCAGGGCAGCGCCTGGATGGATACCCTGTGTGGAGCAGAGAGGATGACTTAGAATTGCAGAAGGATGATGAAGATGTCAGAAGTAAATTGATAGCAAAATTTGGAGCTGAAAATGTAGCAAGGCGAGTAGCATTTAGGAAAAGTTAAAATAACAAAGCGGAGTAAAATGACTGATCTAGGATCTGTGGCAATAATTTGCTTGTTTTTTTTTTTTTTTTTTTTTAAGTCACTTCAGAATAGTACTTTAGAATTTTCCATCACGCTTGCATTTCTAAAAGTTTCAGAAATGCTTTAAAATAAAGCTTGTAAAAGGTTGTTGTACTGTGTTCAGAATATTCTGAAGTGAAAATGGTAGAGAGGTCCTATCCACTATCAAGTTTTCTCACTGCAAATTTGATTTAAAACTGTATATCTACTGTATTTTTTGTGACAGTCTGACCTGTACTTTGCTGTATGCAAAGGATTTTGAATGGGGTTGGCTAAATGTTATTCAGTTCTCTAACGAAAGCTTTATTAGTACGCCGTCTGTTACATGTGTCATTTAAGAGTGCTGCAGGCAGCCATGTAAACCCGCTCTGCTGGCTGTTTTCATTATCTTTTTGTTGTTAATAGACCTTGATTAGTAGCTGACGTGTGGCAAAGATATCACTGAAAGTTTAGCGGTCCAAAACGAGGGTCAAAAGCATTCATGCAAGAAGACTTATTTGAGGCACTTGGTCTAATGAATCTATGCTGAGATTGGAAATGGTCAAAAATGTTCTCTGGGATGTAGTAATCAGTATCAAATTACAGTGATTTTTTTTTTTTAAGCCAGCAGGCAATCACTGGTATTTTTATTACCACTTAATGTGTGTTCTCTAGTGCTAATACTTCAGGATTTGCTTAATAACATTAAATGTGTCATCTGGCATGTTATGATTTCAAAAACAATGATTAGCTCTTCCCTGGCTACAGGTTGAAGAGTCCCAGACTCCTCGATCTAGGTGAAGTAACCTAACATCCATCTCAGACTTGAAGTAAAAAATGTGTTCAAAGTATCAGCTGTGTTGTGTTGGAAGGAGTGAGAAAATAATTTCTAATATATGGTGACAATCTAAAAAATTCTGAAATTGTGCTCTGGACTCTGTTGAAATGTTATTTGAACAATCACTCAAAGCAACAGCTTGTCACTAGTTGTTTATAACTCCTGTAAGTCTGGAATTCAGTCATCCTTTTGGTGAAGTAAAATAAAAGCAGAGGTTGATATTTTTCTACTATTACTGTTATATATTTGTAGCAGTTATATTCACTGTTTGTTCTTATTGCACTGTAGTACACTTTGTAAGATTAAGTTGAATTTGGAAATTGCCAAGTCTAAGCTGAATTCCACATTATCTTTAAAGTCAGTGGTAACTTGGTGCACTGTGACTTCTGCTTCAGAAAATGGATGTCTTGAAACACCAACTGACTGCCTTGTAGGATTGACAAATGTTAACAAAATAAATGCCAGAACTTTAACACTGTGGTGTTTTATTGGACAAGTCATTTCTACTGAACAGTGAGAGTGATATGGCACATTCCTGTTGCTCTGACTAGTTCCTTGGGGTTTATATGGAAGACCAGATGGGATTTTAAGAAGAGACTGGAAGATACTGTAGCAAATGATAAGTACTGTTTGCTAGATCTTCCACAGCTGGATTCAAAATCCAAGGACTGCTTCTGGCCAGGTTCAATAGCACGGGACTCTTAACCAGAAGCACCTGTTCCAGCTTGTATGGTATATTTCAGCAGTGCCATTACCTCACAGTTCAATGAAATAATCTTGTGGAATCAAAGCTGTTCTAGAACTCAAGATATATAACACCTTACGTGGCTGCAGCACAAAAAAAGATGGGGCATAAGGCTTGCTGTATCTTATTAATAGTTTTATCTATCTTGGTTGACATTTCCTGTGAGAATAAGCTCGTCTTTTTCAGGGCAATTAATCATGCCTGCATTGCCAACTTCCAAGACTGCATAAGGTGCTTTTATCTTTGTAGAACTATGTCAAGACATCGTCTAACACTGCTAACATTTTAATAGATGCTTAGTGAATTCTTCAGGTATAGGAACTGAATAAGACGACAAAATGAGAAAAAAGCAGAGCTAATGGAAGAAGGATACCTTCTATCTGTTTTGAACTCCTGAAAGGCACTGCTTGTCCACAGCTGCACTCTTGCTTGTGTGAGTACGTGGCAGTAGCTCTGGTCTCTTTGTTTCACTTTTCCATTAATGGAACTTCAAGCTGTCTCTGTTGTAGGTCAGGTTCACAGCATTTTGTCTCTGCCTTCTTCCATGACAGAAACCCTTTCTCTGCTTGGTTTTACTAAGGATACAGCTACGATTCCTCAGCTGTGAGACAGCTTATTTTTCTAAGGTGGTATTGAGGCCCTGAGCTGTTTGTATCAGGAACTCTGCGTAGCCCAAAGAAATACACGCCTATCTTCCTTGTTTAACTGGAATAGCTACATTTATAAAGCTGGGAGAGTGAGTAATGTAGCAAAGCAAGTGCCAGAACCTTGAGGTTAAGAATTCTAGGCAGACCATTATCTGGAGTTTAGATATTTCCCACTTACTTCCTTTCATCATTATCAATGAATTCCAGTCCTTCATAGCTACAGTGAATGAATTCTGGCCATTGTTAACTAAAATTACCGATGAAAAACAGATTGTATATGCTAGGTTGAAGAGCAACATGAAGGAGTTTATTTTTAAGTGCCCCTCTGATTACTGAATTTTTCTATCTTAACACTTCATTGCTATAAAAAGAGTTTACTCATCTAAAAACTTGCACAATATGAACTTCACATTTGTTTTTAAACAAACTGCACAGATCTTTAGTTATGCATCCGCCAACAGATATAGCCACAGTTTTATCTGTCATGCTCACTGTCTTGAAATGTATTTTTTCCTCCCCCAAAGTTGTTTTTAGTCACCTTTGCTACCACTAATCCAACTGACCACCCTGTATAGTTTTGGTGCTTCCAAAAAAAAAAAAAAAAAAAAAAAAGTCATTATTGTCAATAGATGCAGTGGGAAGCGTAGCAGAAGCGTAACAATGAAGCACTGAAATCCATGGTTTTTTTTGTTTTTCCTGAGTTTGCTGAGGAAATGGAAGTAAAAACAATTTTCTTAACAACAATTTAAGAAAATACATTAAATGTCATTTTATGTCATTTGGTTACCAGAGACTGGAAACACTGAAGTTTTTTTTTTTCATCCAACTAAATATTTAATGCAAAGAGTCGAGTCCATTGAAAACAAATATGCATAATAAAACTTGTGCTACTCCAGCTAACATTGATCAATGTAATAGTAATGTAGTAATGTACTGAAAAGAGTCTGTCTGTGAAGAAACAGGTTTCTTGGCACTTCAACTGAAAAGCTCCTCACTATGACTGCAGTAAAAACTGGCTTCTGAGACTATGCTTTTAGCTGAATGTGTGATATAACCCGTAAGCTAAAGAGATCTTTAGAAGTGCAGCAACTGTGCTCTTCTCTAGTGCTGTACAAATCATACTTCTCTATGCCAGCCTGCCTGCACCAACTTTGTCTAAGTGTCATGTAAAGGAAGGTTTTCACATTCACTAAGAGAATCCCTGGCAGTATCACTCCAATTTTGATAACATACACTATTTCATCCTTTTGAAGAATTAGAACTTTAGTTCTAGGACCACAGATGTCTTCAGTACTGTGGTAATAGTTAATCTGTAAAAGTCACTTTTTTACGATGTGGATGACAGAGCACTGGCACAGGCTTCTCTCCCTGAAGACCCTAAAAGCTGCCTGGACCTGGTCCTGGGCAACCTGCTCTAGGTGTCTCTGCTTGAGCAGGGTATTTGGAGCAGACAGCCTCCAGAGATTCCTTCCAACAGTAGCCATTCTGTGACTGAAGCCTAAATGTTGGGCAGAACATCAGATGTCTCCTCCATGAATCTAGCTTTAAAAGCTTCTTAAAAAGAATACTAGATTGAGATCTAGATCTTCACAATAGAGTCAATATTATTCCAACTTGATGAAATGGAAATTCAGACTTCGGGAAGATACAAAAATATCACATTAAGTTTTTCCAGCCATTAGGAATAAGATCTTAAATTTGATCAACAAAATTTATACTTAGAGAAACCCTGTTTTAGTCATCTCCCGAAATAAACCATGTCCCAGCTGCTTTAAGTTGTTTTCAGTCATGGTGACTGGGGCTGATTGCTTCATCTAGAAGGGAAGAATGATTGGAAGTAAGATTTGGATAGCTACTGTGCTGAAGCAACAATCACCAGCTAGAGGACAAACCCAGCATGCATGGCATACTGACCTTGTAATGCATCTGAATATTTCAGTGTGCTAGGCCCTGTCTAGTGGTAAGAGACATGTGGATTCAATGTCAAAGAGCTTCAGAAACAGTGACATTTATCTTGTCCTGCACCTCGAAGTCAGGAAAGCCTTGCTAGCCAGTTAATAAGTTAATAAGTTAATAAGTGGGGTCTGCCCCACACTGCTCACTTACGAGGTATGAATACACACAGAAGTACATGAAGAAGCAGAATTTCATGGACAAGAAGAATACTGCAACACTAGCTTGTTAAATCTAAATCATTAGAAATATTTATACTGAGTTACATCAGAAATTGGAAAACACGATCCTCCCTCCAGCTCATATCATCTTTCCTCACTGCTGACAAATTGTACTCCTACCAGATCCCTTTCTGGACCACTAACTACCATTTGTCACCTCCTGCTCCACAGTTGTACCTGCAATTTCCTTCCTAACTGCTGCAAGATGGTCTCTTACCTCAAAGGCGTGCAGGATCTGAGACACTGATGCTCGCCCCACTAAAGGTGCCTGAAGAGATGCTTCTGGGGTGGGAAGCCATCCACTTCTTTGAGCTTCTACGCTTGGCGGTCCTAGAGCAGACTGTTAACTTCAGATGATTCAGTTTATTCCAAAGTCTAGTCTATATTGCAGCTACTTTGTTTTGATAGTCAACATAACTGCTCAGCATCTGTGGCAGTACTTTCTCTGCTTTCCTTACCAGAATCAGCACATAATAAAACCTTAATTGATTATCTGTGACAACATCAATAATAACAAAATTCAGCTGTAAATTTGACAGAAGAGTCTTTTTCCTGTTATTCGAGATAAGTATCAGTAAGGGTGACTCCTGTCACCCATCAAACACAATACATAGAACCTGGACACTGCTTCTTGCATACACACTTTCAAACATGAATGCAGTCACTAGAGAAGTGCAAAAACAGCTGTGTTCCTAGCAGTGCTGCAAATCAGTACAGGCCTTGGGAAAGTGTTGTAAAAAGAGCAGAGAAGCATTAAATTTGTCCCCACTTATCTTGCATGTGTTAACAGTGTGCCATTTTGAAGATCATGGGAGGAGTTCACAGTTCTCTGTACTCCCAAGATAGAGATGCTTGTAACCTGTCTGTGATTGTTTATTCCTGGTTAACAGTATACACTACAGTAGTAAATTTGCCTAATTAATAAATTTAAATGAGCTGTTGCTTGCCAGTTGGTTTAAGGAAGTGGAGTCAAATTGAGACAGTATATCAGTGAATTTTTAGACATGGATTTCCCTGCTTCAGACTTTAAAAAAAAAAAATTAACTAAGCTGAGAATCAATGTTAAAGGGACACTGCAACTTGCGTTTGAAATGGGATGCTCAGAAGGGGCTCTGTGGACATTTCGTTCCACGTGTCTTATAGCAAGATTTCCTCATTTTCTTACAAAGTGCTGTTATAAACAGATAAAAATTCTGTTGTTCAGGTTTAATCTGGATATTCCCATTGAAGATGGAAGAATGACATTTCTGATTGATATAGGAGATAGTGGACAATAGCAAACTCTATGAAATTTTACGGTGATCTTTTTAGGGTACACTTGGATCTGAGAGACAAGATGGCTCAGTAGCAGAGGCAAGCAAACCATGTGCTCAGAGCAGAACAGAGGGTTATGAGTTTTGGTCAACATACACACACTCATACACATACCGGCATCCATTTTTAGATAATCCCCACAACTGGGAAGCAGAGTCTCCCTCAACAAGCATACTGTTACTCACCAATCCTTGAAAGATGACAAACCACTGAAAAGGAGAGAGAAGGACCATGCCAGCAGGGCATCCCCTCCAAAGGGCACTTTTCCTCTCTCCCACCACAGCTGCTTTCCTTTGATTCTGCTTCGATTCTCCTCAGCGTCTGCAGGGTTTGTTCCACTGCATCCTGCACCCACGAAGCCAGTGTGTGACAGAGCCCAAGAGGAACACCTTGCAAAACAAGTCTTTGCAAAAACAAGACCAGCTACCAAGGTCAGCTCTCTCAACAAAACAAGGCATTTGCAGCCACAGACACAAATATCGGTTCCCTTAAAACTGTCAGGATACTTGCTCCATCCTAGGATCATTCTTTATTAGGGGGCCTTCAGGTCCCTTGCACATGCTCTAAGACAGGAAATGCTTTCACCAAATAAATAATACAATATATTAATTTATTGTTCTCAACTTTTTTTAATACACTACCACAAACCTATCTTTCAGTTTCACTATGCATATCAATAGAAATTGTGTTCCTACCCTTTTATAGTCTCAGCACTAGCATGAATTCTTCTCATTCTCACATGAACTGTGAGAACTCCCAGGTCAAGAACTCCTTCTGGTTTGGAAAGCTAGAAGATATAATTACTTCAGCTGAAAAAAATCAGTGGGTTCACCCCATCTCAGAAATAGATCCCTATGTGCAGGGATCTACTATGACCTAGGAGTTTTCATTTACAACTATAGCTGGTTTATTCCATTTTTCCCAGTATATGGCAAATGAATTAAGACATTCTGCCAACATTGCCATGAATGTTAAAGGCTCAGGCACAGGAATGGAGCTGGGGAGGGGGGGGGAAGGAGGGAGAGCTTTCCAGAAAACACCATATGCTTATCGTTGTCTCTCTTCCAGCTTTATATGTTCCCAAGTGGCAGCATGACAAAGAATGCTTTCTTCCTTTGGCTTCCATTTATATTTCCTCTTCCATTACAGTGCAGTTGTTCCACATAGTTTCTCCAGTACTTAGCTGTGGCTTGTGGAGGGGTTTGAGCTCTGACACCCAATTCCATTCCTCTGGCAGCCTGTTTGCTTCCATCTACACATAATTCCTCTTTCCCATACACCCCGAACTTAATTTGGATAATAGATTGGCATTACTCCAGCCTGTATTGTAGCTTTGGAGAGTTACCCTGTGCTGTTGCTGGTAAAACTGTGCTAAGTGCTGTCAGCACTCCTGTAGTACCTGACCTCACCCACCCACCCACTGATATACCTCTACCCTCTTCAGTATTAGTTCACCACCATGCAGCATTCAGAGAGGAGGTACAGAGAGCAGCTTTTCTGCCTTCAGAATTTGTTCTGTCCAAACAAAAGATCCAGTGACATGTCTTTCTGTTCTTCTTCAGTCTGAACTAGCCGGTACCCCAGTAAGTCCATTGCATCCTTACACACACTTTGAACTTTTTCTATTTTTTCAAAGGGAAACGTGTTTCTCCAGGCCTCAGATGTGCTCAGTGCATCTCTGGATCCAGTATCAAATGCTTGTTCTCCTTTTCCCTTCCCATGGGTAATATTGTGCACCCACTTCTGAAGTTCTGGTGTGAAATGGAGTCCTGCAAACCTATACATCTGAGCAGCCTTTCTTAGTGGATCTCTGACAATGTCTTCGTAACGAACTAGCAGGTAACGATCCTTCAGAAAGCTGGGAACAGCCTGGCTGCCTGCCTTGTAAATCTCAACATGGCTTTTGCAGATTTCTTGCATTGTGTTGTAAGGTCCCAGTTCTCCCTTTGCCTTCTGGGACCCCGCAACAATGTCACTGTCACGTTTCAGCTCTGCCACTGTATTCTCTCGGGACCTGAACACAGCCCGAGGATCACGGACCAAGTGAATTATTTTGAGGTTCAAGGATGGATCGGTGAGAAGTGGGTAGAGGACCTTCAGGTCAAAGAAGCGAACCTCCTTGATGACAACATGGCTGTAGGTTTTACAAGCTTCTTCCACCTTGCTGAATGAGTATCTACCACAGAGAACTCTGCAGTTTCCTGCAGAAATTATGTCGCTGCGACTGAAGAAGTCACAGGCAGGAGGGGAGCACAAGGCTCGGCTTTTCTCCCACTGAAATAAGTCAGACTTTTTCTTCTCGCTAGACATGTAGGCATCAAAAACAGACATATCACAGAGAAAGACTGACCTGACCAGGTCCCGCACCGCCATGTGCAAGACTTTGGCACTGTTCTGGTACATTGTAACCCATACATGCCATGCAGGCTCCATCAGGTAGAAGACACTGGGGTGCTGGCTGAAAAGCTGGCCAGTGAAGGATGATCCTGACCGCCAGGAGGAGAGAATGAGAATGTGGACTGCAGAAGATTTTAATTCCAGGGAGGCACTGTTGCTGCAGGTTAGGAAGTGGAAGCGGATCAGAAGAACAAACAGAACTGCCAGAATCAGAAGCATCTGTATCCTAGGTTTCATCATGGTTGAAAGGAACCTGCAGAGACAGAGAAAGGAAGTTCAGCATCACAGTCATGATGAAGACAACTGCAGTGAATTAGGCTCCTCCCAGTCCCACTGCAGGCTCAGCGTTCTGGAAAGCTGCCACAGTACTATGATACTGTGAAAAACTACAGCACGTTATCCTTCTACAGCCAGATGGAGAAAGAGAGACAGGTCTGTGGGGCAAGCTGGAGGCCAGCCCCAACAAAGCAGTGCTGGAGTCCAGCTTCTCACAAAAGTGTACATCACTTTTGTGCAGGCCACAGTTGCACTGAACTCAGACAGCCATGCCCACGCAAATTAGCTTCCTCTTGCTAAAGCAGCAGAGGTCTGAGGCATGACCTAGCTGTCCAGAGTGCAGACATGGCTTATCATGCTCTCTTCTAGGTTCATTACACTACTTAAATATTCCCAGTTAAAATTTCTCTAATCTGCAACCTCCTCCTTATGCCTTGCCTCAATTTCCCTCTGTATGGGAGCCTTCAGAATAATTTGCATGGAGGCAGGGAGCTGCATCCTCCCATGACTTCAGTTACTGTAGCACTGTGCACATTTCCAAGCGTAGTCACTGCTGCTAACCAACTAGGAACCAAACTTACCTCTCTGTCCAGCATGTATGCATACTTTTTCTTGTGTATCATCTCATGTCCATTCTGTGCACATTTATTGAGGTCAGGCTTCATAGGGCAGCAGTTACCACTTCTCAGAGCCAGGACAGAAATCAGGATTACATGTTATGCTGTGTACTGCCACTATGCACTACCACAAGTTTTATTTTTGTAACATCTTGCAAGGATGAGGCTGTACGTTTAGAAAGGGACCACATTCTTATCAACCCATGGACAAGAAGCCCATTACCTGGTGTAGGGAACCTGCTTTGGCAGGGGGGTTGGACTCGATGATGTCTGGAGGTCCCTTCCAACCCCTACAGTTCATTGATTCTGCGATTCATTTTTTTTGATCATATAAATCACAGACATATACAATGGTTTGGGACACCTCCCTCTAGACCAGGTAGCGCACAGCCCCATCCAGATGGGCCTTGAATGCTTCCAAGGGGGAGGATTTGCAACCTCTTTAGGTGACCTATTCCTGTGTCTCACCACCCTCGCAGTCAAGAGTTTCTTCCCAATGCCTAGCCTAAACCTACCCTCTTCCAGTTTAAAACAATTACCCCTTGTTCCGGTCACTACCTGCCCTGATTAAAAGTCCCTCCCCAGCCTTCCTGTAGGCTCCTTCGGGTCCTTGAAGGCCACTATAAGGTCTCCTCAGAGCCTGCTGATTTCCAGGCCAAAATGCCCCAGCTCTCTCAGCCTGTCCTCATAGAGGAGGTGCTCCAGCCCCCTGATCATCTTCACGACCCTCCTCTGGACCTGCTCCAACAGCTCCACGTCTTTCTTGTGCTGGGGGCTCCAGAACTGGACGCAGTGCTCCAGGTGGGGTCTCATGAGAGCTGAGTAGAGGGGTGGAATCACCTCCCTCAACCTGCTGGTCACACTTCTCTTGATGCAACCCAGGATATGGTTGGCCTTCTGGGCCGCAGGCACACACTGCCAGCTCATGTTGAGTCTCTCATCAAACAACACTCTCAAATCCTTCTCCTCAGAGCTGCCCTCCAGCCATTCTCCGCCCAACCTGTATCTGTGCTTGAAAGTGCCCCAACCCAGACACAGGACCTTGCACTTGGCCTTGTTGGACTCCACGAGGTCGGCGTGGGCCCACCTCTCAAGCCCATCCAGGTCCCTCTAGATGGCATTCCTCTATGTAGGTCTGTAAAGTTCAATTCTAACAAGAAACATATTTGCATAGTTGTTCAGACCAAGCCTAGTAATAGCTGCAAACAAAGACCATTGTAAAAATAAATCACCTATCAGCTTCCTCCTAACAAATGAATACAACATTGTTTACATAAATCCTTGGCTTCCAAATGAACTTTGATGATATCATTTCCGTCTGGCACCAGTAATATCTTTCTTCTAATTCCCGAAAGATTTCCTGGAGTATAGTTACATACACAATTAGAAGAAAAAAAAAAAAACCAAACAACTTTGTTGAACAAGCACGAACCTTGACCATTAGATACCCAGGCAGATATAAAAGTACAGAAACCACTATTTCTTTGAAAAACTACATGTGAATAGTCTGAATACGTGTAAAAGAGAAAGGAATCAGTTTTGTTGGAAAGAGGCAATGTGCTTTTACTTTCAGCAAAACTAGAGTATGACAACTGAATGTTGTATACATTTCCCCCAACACAAGAAGGACATGGAGCTGTTGGAGCAGGTCCAGAGGAGGGTGAACTAGGTGATCTTAAAGGTCCCTTGAACCCAAATTACTCCATAATTCTATGATTCACAGTGTACATGGATCATCATTGTGGCTGCTATTGGTGTTTACCTGAAAAACAACCTCAGGCTGCAACCTCAATGGGGAATTTCTTCTCCCATACGAGAAGCAGTGATTAATTTTACCCTGACCAGTCTGCTCCAGAAGGTGAGGAGAAGACCTAAAATGAGTTGTGAGCAGCCGCTGACACAGAATAGAGGAGTAGCAAAGAGAGTTAGAAGTCTAGCAGACATTTCTAGATCTGAAATAAACACCAATCACACACACTTATTTTTCACCACTAGACCTCTTGCTCATGGAATGATGGAATGCTTTTAAACTAAAATCTTAAGCTTAACCACATTATTTTCCTGACAGCAAACATACGGCACCACGAGCAGAGTGATTTAATCCATTTCACCTCGTAGAAGTGAAATATGACGCCCTCACAAAACTGCAGTGTGGAAAGACAAGAATCACTGAGACAATCTCAATTGTAGAGCAAAAAAGGCACACTACTACTGTCAGCTTGCACAGAGATAAGCCAGGATTTGACATAGTAGTGAGAGAGCTGCAAGGCTGGCCCGTGAGTGGCTGCCCCATGCTAGATAAGCAGCAGTTCCAACCTGCTCCAAAAGGGACCTGCTGCCTGCCAGAGCTGAGCCAATGATCAAGATGGTTGCACCTCTGTGAGAGCAGGTTTCAGAAAGGGAAAAAACACTGCATGCAACATGGTGGAGTTTTGCTAACCCTAAGCATGAAATCACCACAGCTTTTATGGAAACACACAGAGACATAGGGAGAGCCAGTTCTGACAAAGAAAGAGCATTACAGAAGGCAGCAAGCAGTCCCAAGCACAGGTACGCGTTATAACTGTAGCGGGCACATCTCCAGAATACAGGACTCTGGAATCTATGCATCTGGGAGAAGTGATCATACAGCTCAAACACTTTGCATCACGTGGACTGTGGCTTGGTATTCTGCTAAATAAATACCGGGAAAATCTCCAGACTAGCACTGCTACAGTAGCACTGGTGTAGCAATGAGTATCTTGTGCCAGGAAAGCCCCAGAGATGGGTCTTCCATGGCAATGATGGTTGCTCATAGTTTTACTACATCCTTCTTCAATTTGACTTCGTTAGCATTTGCAGAATTAGAATTAGCATCTGCCCATTCGGAGCAGACAATGGCATGGCTGGCACTAGTGGGAGATACTGAGAAGACAGTCTAGAGAAGCAGGAAATACCCTCTAAGACAACCAACAACTTCTGTCTACATGAGGAATCATACAGCACTTCATTTGCATCTATACATCAATAGTACTTGGCAAAAATGATCTCAGACTGCTGAGCACAAACAAAAACAGTTCTGAGCACCACAGCATCTGCATCAGTTACCAAGAAATATTTGAAAATCTCACCTTAGCATATCCTCTTGAAGCACTACCAGACTTGATTCAAGCAACGCTTCCCTGTCATACGTATACTTCAGCAGTACACACTATTTCAAGCAGCCTTACAAACACCTACACGTGTATGTACAGGCATTCAGCCTTCATGCTAGGCTCTCACACACGCATGTACTCAGCTCTTATCTATACCTCACGCTACCTCCTCTACCTTTCATTTATGCCTGAGCTCTGAATACTGTGCCTGCCTACTTTTACCTGCCATAAATTATGAAACTCCACCCTCCACTAGAGCAAAGCATGGGAATGGCAGTTTCTTGCAGGAGCACAGAGGTCCACACATCGGTAATAAATGAGAAGAGCCGTGAAATTCATGAGGGCAACTGAAAGCTGATTTTGCTGAGATCTGTTGCAGGCTTCAGAAGAGCCTGTCTTTAAGATGTGGAACAGGATTGTGACCTGCTTGAGTTGATTTTCTGGGAGCTGAAAATTGCCAGAAAGAGGCAGCAGAAAAAGGAGCTGCCAGACTTGTCCTGTTAACAATTCAGAAGGATACTGGAGCTGCAGTTGGGCTGTGCCAGGTAAAGTGGTAAAGAAGAGCAGAGCTGGACTGAGGAAATGCATAATATTCTGCCACTGTGAGAAGACAAGTCACTTCAGGTAATTCCTATTCCAAGTATAATCTTTTCTTTATGCTTTCTGGTGAGATGTTGATCTCTTGATGGTGCCCTCTGTTCCTGGAGAGCTTACTGTGCTGCTCTGAGGACTGCTGGAGTATAAGAAATAGTAGTAGGAAAAAATACAGGCCTTTTCAGGAGGGAGAGCCTGAACAGGGAAGGGAAGATCATGTTCCCTTTCACTTGCTTCATTACAAACACAGATGGTCAAGCCCTGGTAATTTTGGGTAAGGAAACAAGGCTAGAAGCTGACACTTGTCCAGATACGGCCCTGCGAAGACGAGCAAGCAAAGTTGTGTGCAGTTGGGATTTCAGCTATGTGTTCCTAGTCCCTCACAAACAGCATCTGTAAGATGGATTTGTATGTATCATAGAATCGCTCAGGTTGGAAAAGACTTTAAGGATCATGAAGTCCAACCACAATCTAACCAAACTACCCTAACTCTAACAACCCTTCACTGTACTGTTTCCCTGAGCAGCTAAGTTATGTCCTCAAGCAAAAACGTCTGTAAGAGTTACAAAACTGACATCTAGGGTCACACCATTGAGTAGCTCCTCCTGAAGCCTAATTTCTCCCTGCTAACACTTGCATGAACAGAGATACACGAAACTCCTACTCCATCTGTACGTATTTTGCCCAGGACATGCTGGCCCTTTGGCACCAGTATTCAGGCCCCACAGCAGCACTGAACACTGCTGTACAGTGCTCCAGTCACAGAGCTCAGACTTTTCCATTCGCACAGATCACAAGTACGAGACGCTTGGCTGAGCTTTCCAGAAGGCAGCCTCTGTGGCATAAGCAGTTGCATAGAGGGGAAGAATGTACTTTTCCTTGGAGACAAGGCTTGGGAAGGCACATTGTTCTGGCACTCTGCCCTCCTAGAAACCTGCACATTGTGGAAAGTGAAGGAGAACACTCTGGCATTTGAACAAAAGACCTGCTTCTCCCTGTATGTCTGACTGATAAGCTTTAAGCGACACATGAAGCAAAGCTTTAAGCGTATAGCAGTCAACGTGTGCTTAATGGCAATTAGCCTCCTACTACTTGGTCTTGAGCAACTTCCTTCCACCTCAAACATGAGGCTGACTGTATTTCTGTTTTCTACTCCATTCCTTGATTAGAAGTGTTTTCTAGGGACTTGGACTTGCAAGCCCTGTGAACTGTCATTTCTTATTTCCCGAAGGAGAAATGCACACACAGGAACATCTGAACCATTGTAGCAGTAATAGGAATAGAGTGAGAAATAGCATTGAAGGTATGGCCTAGAGATACTTTTTCAGTTCTGACACTGTAGTACAGGCACCCCAAAGGCATGTCTTTAGTAGTCTGATGAGAGAAACAGACATACTTGGAGAAGGAGAACTAGCTCAGCTGAAAAGCCTGATCAAATTTTGCCCTGTGTTCTTCCATCATCAAGAGCAGCTGCCCAAAGGAGAGAATATGCTTTCCTCCATGTGCGCTCCCACAGCTGCAGCCAGGTTTGGAGTACTTGATTCACCTATCCAAACACAAATGTTCAAAACAAGTTAGGGTGATGTCCTAGAAGTTCATGTTTCTTTCCATTGACTATGACAAGAGGAGAGGGTGATATTTTTCAATAGGCATTAGTACTGAAGCTGTGTAATAAAATCAGTTGAGAGTAAAGTGGTCTTTGTATTTCATAGCACCTAGGTTTTTTGTTTTCACTTGTCCAGACATGCTTTGAACTCACTGGTACTTCTGGCATCTACAATACTCCCTGGCAATGAGAACGTCTGGCTGCACATTGAGAACTACTGATGTCTGTTTCGAATCTAGCATATTACAAATGTATTTAATAACATCAACATTTTTGTATCAAAAGAGACTAAGAACAATTTCTCCCTATACACAATCTTTACTGCTAGCCAGAATTTTAGCAGCTGCCCTTGCATGCCCTGGAGAACACATTTTCTCTTATTCTGTATTTATATATGAAGCAGGTCATGGGAACAATGCTGCAGAAATCTCTCCACCAATTGCAAAAGGAGCTCTAGTGCTTAAGTCAGTGTGGAAGAATATTAAGAATACGAACCCTGGAGCCATCTGTCACACACAGGAGCACAACCTTATGCAACATACAGCTGATGAAAGGCCTTCATACATTCTGTGGCTTTTTCCCCTCTTCTTCAAAACAAATTCCTCCACCTCAAGAGCCGTGCCCTTGGGAACACCGTCCTTTGGAGAAAGCAATGTTTACTTGCTGATAGGATTCCGGGCATGGATGGGAGGTACATTCTCTTTGTAAACGGAAGTTTGTTACCCTGTGTGGCTCAGAATCATGACTTCAACCTTGGAGATTCTCAAAGCTATTGCCTTTTTTTTTTTTTTAAAAAAAAAATCCTCTTGGCAGAAGGGCAGATTTAGGCTACAAGTCTCACTGTCATGTGTTTGCTAATATTTATTTAGAAAGATCAGTTAGTTCATGACTCATGTTTCCTGCATCCCAGATGCATAAAATCAGGAGCTACCATGTGAATCAATGCAGTGACTGTGGACTTGCAAATGCTTGCCACAGAAAGAGATCTGTGTCTCGAGGCAGAGGAAGTTTAGGTGTTCTCTAGCTGAGGTAACTAAGGCTGTAGAGGACAGATAAAGCTTTTATCTGCTAGATCTGTGACAGAAAGCTACAGTGCAGCTGCTCACATTAAGGCCTGCTAACCCCGCTACTGACCACTGGATTTTAGCATTTACAGGGAAAGCCTGGCTCTTTGATACTAGTCGGAAAAAAAAAAAGAACAAACCTGCACTTCAATTGCTTGATTGCTTGTTGCTTTCATAGGGCTGAGGGCAGCAGAGCAAAGCAGAATTCTTTGGCTTTTGAAAAGAGATATTTTTGGCAGGGATGCTTTATACATCCACTCTCGTTCTCTGGTTGCATTAGAATTGGTTGTTCATAGGAGGTGGAAAGGAAAATCTACAGTCAGGCAAGTGCCAGAATGCATAGATGCAATGCCCACACTAAATGCCAGTTAGGGTTGGTTTCTCCTGAGCTAGAGCAGAACCCACTCCATCTGATTTCTAAAATGAGGAAGAACAAGGGAGATAACTTAAGTGGTGTCCTACATGAGACATAGCAATTCTCCATAGCAATTCCCTGGCACAGCCTGGTGTGACACTGGATTTCTGTTGCTACAGCTTTTTTCTTGTGTTTGAGATAAACTGTAAAGTTGTAATCTGAATTATAAACAGTTTAAGGTAAATATACAAGCCTGAACTGATACAGTCTAGTCCCAGAAGATAAACTTGATCTTCAGACTTTGCTCCCATTTAGCTCAACTATTTGCCTAAAATGCCAAACAGTTTAGGGAATGACTTGCACCTTACTCATGGAACACTGATAATGACTGGGAGTAGGATTTTGAGGTAATAGGTGCATGTGAGTACAGCAAGTATACAGGAATAATTACCCAGAGTTGCAGTAAGCAAGAGTAAAGATGCTGGCTGATTCTTCCACCCATCCTGCTTCACCCATATGTGAGTGAACCCTTCAGCTGGGTTCTCAGACTGAGGGCTAAAGTATAAGACGCAACCACAACCTTGTCCTGAACAGTTGTTATAGCTAGCCAGCTTTCAAGCGACAGTACCCCTGCTGACAACGAGTCTTGTGTGCTTGTTCAGTCAATAGCAAGACTTGGCCCACACTGAGCCTTCCTTTTCCACAGCTCCTCTACTTTCTCATAGTCTGGTTTCAAAATTGCTCCTAGTCATCTTAAGAAAATGCTGTCCCCCGGCCTCCTGCTGCCACTTCCTCTTACACCCATTGTCTTTCCTACAGTCCTGGACACTTCACTTCGTGGAAGCCTGTCCATATCTCCCTTTGACACACTGAATATTTCCTTCCTCCAATACTCATGGATAATACTACTGAAGGAGGTCAGCTCATCTGGTGTCAAGTTCTGACAGGGCCTACACATTCATCTTGGACAAATGAGGTTATGTGCCACCCTTTACCTCCAAACAAGCTTTGCACAACCAGTTTCCCCATAGCATTTTGCTCCCCCTACCACTCCTGAGCAATGCCAGGACTTCCTTGGTCATACCTTGATTATCTCCATGCAACTGCCCAGGTTCCAAGACAAACCTAAAAGGATCCAGATGCATTCTGCTTTCGAGTGGAGAGCAGGCTGGTCCAAGACAGTCTCTCACGGTCAAGGGCCATAGCTTCATGGTGGGAGGCACTCAATAACTATTCCAGGCAGCAGCCCGCAAAGGAACAGTCAGGACTGCTAGAGGAGACAGTAGATGAGGAGAGTGGGCTGACTCCACGTTCTTAGGGCACCTGGAAGCTGATGCCTAATTGCTGGCAGGTGTGATTGAGCCTAGCCCAGCAGGGCAAACTGTGGTACTCCAGGCAGGTGAGTCTGCTGCCAGCTCCTTTGGAAGCTGAGAACACTTAATTTAATTTCTTCATCTGCCTAGGAGTTCAGAAGTTACTTCATTTCCCTAGGAAGGCATAAGTGTAGCCTAGGCACAAGGTTGCCTCACCGCTTAGGTCTCTGTTTGGTGTTTGTGTTTCCTCCTAAACATGGCTTGCCAGACAATGTAGAAAAGAGGATAAGCATGCTGCAAGCCTGCCTCAGGAAATACAGCTTGTGCTCCCCAGCTAAGATATAGAGGATGGGTGTGGATCAGCCATTAGAGTGCTGAAAAATTATACCAAAGCACTCTTGACACAAAGGCAGTGTTATGTTTACAACTGATGATGGCAATAGAGGATCAGGTGCTTGCCGGTCTAAGAGGAACCAGAATGACGTTGATCACTAAAGATTAGCTACATGTTAACAGAAATCTCTGGGAGTACTCTGGAGGAAAGAGGATCCATGAAGGAGAAGGATCTGAAAGGAGCAGCTTTGTTTAAAAATGGGAAAACCATTCATTATTAATGGAAATTAAAGCCTCAGAACCCAAGATACTTGGGGAAGAGTTCAAGGCAAACTTGACAGCTGTAGTAGATGCAACACAGTAGAACAACGCAGCAATGTCATGCTGTAAAGGCCTCCTGACCCAACAGACTCCCCATGCACCATTCTATTTATCATTTGTCAATTTTTGCCTCAAGCAACTCATGTTATCTGGTTCTATTTTGAGGTCTAGTGACCTCATATCTCCAAAGCTCCTCTCATTCCCGCACAGCCCAGCTTATCTCTTTTTTTCTGGGATTGCTTTGTTTGAAAGGGAAGGATGTAGCCTGGACCCACAGCTGTTGAGTACCTTTTCAAACACTGCTATTTTTCTCACATAGCTTTCTCCTGCATACTGGTACTCAGACTTTGTGCTGGACAGAAGAAGAGTGCACACAACAAAGCAGAAGGTCTGACATCATGTAATTCAGAGCCAGCTCATTTTTCATACTAGAGGGAAGGCAAAGTCAGCCTGTGAGCTTCACCTTGCCATAAGACAGGTGAAGAGAGATGCAGGTGACAGCATGAAGTACACTGTACATTACTCTTTGAGCCCTGACTACAGCAGTCAGTTTGATGGGCTCATTTTTCCATTAGGCACCAGGCCATCAGTTCTTTGTATTTTATGGGGCTCATGCATTCAGCCATCAGCAACCTGGGCGTGACAGCACATCACAAACATTTACACAGGGAAAGCACTTCAGAGAAGTACCACCTTGGCATTTACTGCCGGAGTGGGAAACACCCACCTTGAATATCTGGAGGTTGGTGCCTGGCAGTGCCCGCCTGGGCACTAGCATACATCAGTCTGCTGGGAGCCTGGGAGTGGCTGTAAGAATCAACAAGCAGCAGAAGATGGGGTGGGCTGTGGAGGGGCCCAGCCACTACAGGAAGCTTGTAGGCTCACTGGAATGGGAGCAGTTGGCTCTTGTCTGTACCAGGTTTGCAGGGCCTGTCCTGCCCTGACGACCTGGTGAGCACTGCCAGGGTTGAACGGGCTGTCCCTGTGCTTTGGCTAGTGGTAGGGCAGGCCCCAGTCAGGCAGCTGCAGGGACAGAGACGAACATGGGACACCACAGGCTGAACAAGAGTGACCCATTGAGCACAAGCCCTTACTGATACACCATGAGGACTGCCATGTCAGAAGATTTATTAATAAAAAAAAGTCACAATAACTTACTCCCTCTGCTGAACAAAGGGCTTGGTATAAAGCACTCTGGCCTCCTAAAGTAAGACAGGTGAGAGGTGGGTGAGTGTCTCTTGTTCTCTGAGATTGTGACCATCTCCTGCCCCAGAGGGGGAGTGCAGGCAGTGCAGGAGCTACTGGCCACTCAGAGTCAATGCCATGGATCCCGGTGCAGGAGCAGCCAGGCGTCCCTGCCTGTGGCTGGTTTGTGGCCACCACAGAGACCAGTATGGG